TCTCTCCCTTCCTTCATTCCTTCCTTCCCTCCTTCCTTCCTTCCTTCCTTCCTTCCTTCTTCCCTCCTTCCTTCTTGTCTTTTAGGATAGACAGTCTTACAGTTCTTAGATTTTCTGAAATACCCCTCTAATAGTGACCCTCTGATACCTACTGAACATGGACTTTGCATCTCTCTGTCCCATCTCCCCATCTTCCTAATCGGGTTTTCTTCAAAATGATCCCTAGTCCTCTTGCATGGAAATCTGAAAATGTCTGTGGCTGGGCCCACCGCAGACCTCCTGAATCAGAACCTCCAGGGAGACGCAGGAACCTGCACTTTAAACACACCTCCAGCGATTCTGTTACTCGTTGAGGTTTGAGATGCACTCTCTAGTCTCCATGTGACTTCTCTGTGCTGCCTGTGCCCACTATTCTCTGACAGGTTCCCCCAGACCCTCCTCACATGCTCTTTAAATTCTCTGGATTACTGTAATCCACTTTTGCCTGTTCAACTGCAGTCACAGGTTCACACAGCTCCTTGCCCACCCACAGCTTTTACCAACACTGGGTCACGCTCCATTCGCATCCCCACAGTGGGAGTCCCTCATCTTTTCTCTTCCTGTAATTAAAGTGCAAGGAGTTTTAAAATAAAACGACTTCTTGGGGGAGGGGAGAGGGAGTGTGACTTAGTCTTAAGCTTTTTATTTCTCACCTGATTTTCACCAGCTACTTTAAAACTCACTCTAGTCTTTAGACAGAATAGTATGACTTACAGAAGGAGAAGAGATACTACTCTTCAGCTTTTTAGTAAGAGAAGGACTTTTTCATTGGGCTGTTTCTTTGCTGAAAATAATTTGAAAAATGAAGTGGTTACTTAACTTCTAACCCAGAGAAGTTCTTTATACAGCACTGTTGTTGTAAAGAACTCTGAAGACCTCCTGTGACATGCTAGGAATAGATTTCCTAGTAATTTAGTACCGAGAGAATAATGCAATTTGCATCTTAGATATCTTAATGGATTTCTTTTGTTTTATAGATATAGACTGATCCAGTTCAAATGTATAATCTCATTCTCTGTCTCTCTCTCTTCCCTTCTAACTGGTACCTATGCAATAGCCCTTACAGCGTTCTGCCCACAGAATAATTATTTTACACGTATGACTATATCAGACAAACCAAGATTAAAATCCTTCTTTGCCACTTCCTTAGGAAAGTGCTGTAGCCTCTGTCTGCATTTCTTGTACAGCATATGTGAAGCGGCTGGCAAGTTGCCTTGCGATTCCCTTGGTTGTGTATCCTCAGTCCTTGCCCTGGCCCTTGCGTGTCACAGGGAGACAGTGAAAGGTCAAGGTGAGAACCCTTTTCCTAAAAAAATAAAATCAATATATGCTTCAAATTAGTTGATTAGCAAAATCCACTCTGGTGGATTAGCAAAGATCAGTCATTTCTAAGTTAATAACACAGAAATGTTTAAAAGACCAGCCTGACCAACATAGTGAAGCCCCATTTCTACTAAAAATACAAAAATTAGCCTTGTGTGGTGGCAGGCGCCTGTAATCCCAGCTACTTGGGAGGCTGAGGCAGGAGAGTTGCTTGAACCCAGGAGGCAGAGATGGCAGTGAGCCGAGATCACACCACTGCACCCTCACCTGGGCAACAGAGTGAGACTCTGTTTCAAAATAAAAAATAAAAATACAAAAAAGACTTAACAGAAACAGATGTATTATGCAGCAACTCAAATAATTAAATAAATGACAATGGGATTGATAGTCTGAGTTTTTTATTTTTAACTTAGTATTTCCAGTGTTCAATTTATTACCTTTTTGCCTGTTTTTAAAAAGAGCTTCACTAATAAAACATTTTGCATGTCCCTGTGAACTTTTATTGGGCTAGAGGTATTTTAAGAGGAGTAAGATAAGGGAGAATGGTCTCATCTCATTTTTTTCATAGACTTGTAAAATATGAGCTTTTTAGATAGCAGCCATGTATGCAGCTACACTTGTTTCTTTAAATGTTTCCCCATTTCTTCCTTATCTATATCATTTTTTATCCTTTCAACTCTGTTTCGTCTTCAAGTCCCCAGCCCTTCTCAAGGCAGCCTGTTCTGTAAGAGCCTCTGGCCCCTAGGCTCATACTTTCTGAAGTTTCTGAAAGGGTTTTTTTTGTTTGTTTTTTTTTTTTTTTTTTTTTTTTTTTTTTTTTTTTTTTTTGAGACAAGAGTCTCGCTCTGTCGCCCAGGCTGGAGTGCCGTGGCACGATCTCGGCTCACTGCAAGCTCCGCCTCCCAGGTTCACACCATTCTCCTGCCTCAGCCTCCCGTGTAGGTGGGATTACAGGCACCTGCCACTACGCTTGGCTAATTTTTGTATTTTTAGTAGAGATGGGGTTTCACCTTGTTAGCCAGGATGGTCTCGATCTCCTGACCTCGTGATCCTCCCACCTCAGCCTCCCAAAGTGCTGGGATTACAGGCGTGAGCCACTGCACCTGGCCTGAAAGCTGTTTTCTTAAGAGTAGCTGTTTGTCTAAGCTCAGCATTCCCTTCTTCTGCTGTTCCATACTTACATTATGTGAGCTGGAATTAAGCCCAGCATACCAGTTCCTGTCATTGCCTCATTACCTTACACGTGATCAAATGTTCAGCAAGGCACCATAAACAGTCTACCTCTAGCATAATGAGGCTTCCATGTAGATACCTTGATGTTAGAAAAATCCCTCACTATTATTGTTACACCTTGTGCCAGTTTTGAAATGCCATAAAAAGCCATTGTGAAGACCCCACATTCGGTCAAGCAATTGTAATATGTGGTCCTGCTTTAGTTAATATCACTTCCATTTTTCTTCCCAGTTTCTTTTCCCGTTCATCTTACAGTCCATGGAGTCATATTTCTTGTTTGTAGAGAGCTACCCCCTCCTTCCCACTCTTGTGTCTCTTTCCTTTCCTGTAATTCCAGTCATGGATTCCATTCTGTAAACCTCAGTGATACTTGTGAGAATATGGTAGCTTCTGACTGCCAGAAACATAATGAGTATTAATTATTCCTGTTTGGAAATCCAGAACTCTTGAAGTCCAATATTAAAACTTAGAAAAGCCAAGCACATCAGTCTTATCATTAGGGCCCCAATGGGTGGATCTGAGTGATGCAGCACACTCCAAGGAGTCTCCTAGAGGTGAAGAGTGGGGAAAGTGTGTGTGTGGCATTGGGGTGGAGGGGGCTTATTCAGTTAACCAAGTTGGGATGTTCTCAGGTACCATCATCAGCAAAAGAGAAGTTGGAGAAAAGGGGAGTGGTCCATGCGTTAGTTCCCTGGAGAGTGGAATGAATCTCACTAGTTACTGTTCTTTCCCGAAACCAATGAGGCTACCATATCTTATTAGCATAACAGGAAGTAGGACCACAGCTCCTGGTTAGGTGAGAGAAAGAAACACAGAAGTAAAAAGACTAAATTGGCCATTTACTGTATTTATGATGTGTGTGTTAGCTTTTGCTTGATATTTAAAGACACTAAGGAATAAAGTTGTTGTCAATCACCATATAGAGTTGCTTTGAAATGGTGTTGCATAGAAAGGGAATTAGAAATCGGAATGCCCAACTGAAGAGTAAAAGTGTGCAAAAGAATGTACAAAAGGTCCTGTAAAATTTACAACAGTGCTAAATTATTTGTAATAGCAAAAGTTTTTAAACCATGCAATGTCCTTCAGTAGTGAACTGGTTAAATAAATGCTGATTCATCTACACAATGGAGTCTGTAACTGTTACAGAAAAGAGTGAGGAAGAGCTCTATACGCTGACATGGAGTGAACTCCACTATGCAATTGTGTGAGAAAAAGAAAATAACCAACGTGCAGGACATTGTACATAGTATGCTACTTTCCTGTAAGAAGGGAAGATTATGAATAATATGTACACATTTGATTACATTTACAAAGAGAAACAATACAATAAAAAACTAATAAGAACATATACAGGGAAGAAGGATCAAGGTAGAGAAGACCATAAATGAGGCAAGACTTACCCGAATTCACCTTGATATGTAGTTTAACTTTGGAATTATGTAATGTTTTGGCATAATCCATAAAACAAATTACATCAAAAAAAAGTACTCCCCCCACCACATACATGTAAAATGAGAAAAAAGAAACACATGACCTAATAATACATTGTCAGTAACATAACCACAGAGAGAAAAGAATTATTCCAGCTGACCCTAGAACATCATATTTTTCACTGAACATTCTCAATTACATATACTCTTAAGGACAAAAAAAATGCTAAGAATGTTTAAATTGGATTCAGCAGTCTTACTATTAGCAGTTATATTGGTGTGATTAGGAATTAAGATTTTTCCGTCTAATGGAAAAACATAAAATTTTTAAATTTATGTGAAAACCCTGTGAACTAAATTTGAATTAGAGGGTCTATAGATCTTGCAGAATTATTTTGAACAGCAGTAGGGAATATTTATTTATTATATAAATTCTGGTGTAGAGTTGTAGCATAAATGCAGAGTTAGAGTTCAGGGTCTTTCTCCACTCCCCTCGTTGTACTGTGGGCTTGGTCTTTGACCTCAGATTGACCCTTTCTGTGACAGAAAATACATTACTTTGCATTCTTTCTATCCCTGGTCTCCACTGTGTCCTCAGTGGAGCTGAAATCCGCCTTCTGAGAGTCCAGATCCAGATGCTGGTCCCAGCCCTTCTTTCTGCTCCCTCGCAGTCTCCCATCTCTGAAGTTTGCTGAGCTTCCCTTCTCTAAAATAAGAATAACAGCAATCATAGGTGCCCTGTTTCCCTTCAAAACAATGAGGAACAATTGCTGACTTCGAAGATGCCTTCTGCCTTGTTGTTGCCATAATTTTTCAGTGTTTTGTCCCCATTATTACATTCTTGAATGGACACATTTATGAAATTCCACTGGAGGTTGGAATCATTTTAACTTTACCTAGAAAAAGAAATATTTCCAGTTCATTACCACAGATTGGATGGGAGGTAATATACTTTGTCTTTTTTATTTCTTTCAGCCATGGAATTCCATGAACACTTGCACAGCATAGGCACCAAGGAAGGTTTGAAGGAAAGAAAGCTACAAAAAGCAGTGGAGAGCTTTACCTGGAATATTACCATCTTAAAGGTATCTACAGAGTTGTTTCTGATGCTGGTGATTTTGCAGTCTTTTACAGCATGCTTTCCTCTCTTAGTATAACATGTCCTACATGGTACATGGTCAGCCACTGAGATTGTAGAATGGATGCAGAAATCACATGAAGAACTCTGCCCTCCTAGAGTCTGCAGGCACAACAGTTTGGCATTGTAAATCAGGTGAAGAACAGGGGGAACTTCTATGATTGGCACATTGTAGGTTCTGATAGATAAAGCACTTTGTCATTTTATCCTTGAGACATTTTAAAGTTCATAAATGCCAGTTGCTATATGTAAAATAGAAAATATTGATTACAGAGGAATGATTGAGAATTTAAAGATTCTAGTTACTCAAATTCCATTTAACACTTGAAAGTATAATTATAGCTATAATGTTCATATAATCCCAGAAATAAATAGAAAAGAATTATATGGAGCATAATCAAAGGAAACACATAAAAGAACTGTTATTTAAAGAAATATTTCTTGAAGGGAAATGCCATCTCTATGCATATCTATTTTGGCATAACAATTTTTAAAAATTAACTTTTTTATTTTTATTATAAAATAATGTATTTTCATTGTCAAAAATGTCAAAAGAGCAATAATCAAAGGTAAACACAATCCCATCATCCAGAGACAATTACTGTTGGCCTTTTGCTGTGCAGTCTCTCAGGCTGATTTTCTACTTTATATGTAATATGACATAATTTAAAAAATAATGCAGTGTATGTACCTCGAAACTTTTGAGTTTTACTTCAATAGTTCTTCTCAGTGTTATTCGCAGAGCATAAATAATAATAACACGGAAGTTATTTCATTCCAGATCTTGGACAATTAATAAATGTAATATCACTCTCTGGTGTTTGCCTTCCAAACTTTCTGCTTAGCTGAATTTGTAGGGAAGAAAGGAAGGCTTCCCTTTCACCCTCTGAAGCTGCCTTGAAAACGAACCGACAATTGACAGATTAGCAGGCATAAAAAACCTACATATTATATTTATTTAAGGTGCAGAAGCATGGGGAATGACAGGAGGATGATTACCTAACAACCCAGTGTGATCTTGATGCTTACAAACTCTTCTTCGTAGTGGAGGGACATGGGGGAAATGTGGCCGTTTTTGTGGGGTAGTAAATGAATTTTAGGGGAAATGAATGGGCCCAGTGCTCAGAAATGGGATAGTAAATGATTCTCTTTGGGAATCGAATGGTCTGAGAAGGAAAAATAGTTTGGGAGGAAGTTCTTTGTGCTGTAGTTGTGGTGTTAAATTTTCTGTCTCTTCTTCTGTAATACAAATTTTAATCTTCTCTGGTTAATGAAATTTCAGAGAGGAAATCAGAAGTATTTGTGCTCCTCTGTGGTGGGTTCAGTTTCTAGTTAGATACGGGAATTTGAACAGCCTCATTTTTGGGAGAGAGAGGACTGAGAGATATGTGGTGGGGGGGTCAGAGAAACCTTGAGCCTGCTTCTTTAGGTCAGCATGTCAGTGTCATCTTTTGGGGTATTGTTTTCTGAGCCCCAACAGATTCAAGACCGTAAAGACATTATCACAGCTGCCATTTTAAATTTCCTCATTCCCCCTCAAGTTAAAAGCTGCATCCCTGGAGCTGACAATAATTTTCAGATTTGATGTAATAAAAAGTCTCTTCCAAAGCTAGTCGCCATTTGCATTTCTCTCATGTTAAACCTCTACTTATTTTTATAATTAAGATCATTTTCTTGACTTCTTCAGACATTTCCCTCTTTACTTATGTACTTTTCTTATATACCTATTTTGCTTAGAATTTAACCCTGATTGTTTGCAGATCAATAAACAGCAGACGTAAGAATTTACAACGAAAAAGGATTTGGCTTTATAATTTGCTGATTCACTCCTGGTCAGAGGTGGGGGGCACACTACAAATTTCCTGTAAACTCAGAAAATGCAGCACAGCAGATTAAGCCCTGTGGTAGGAACAAATGATCACTTTGTTTTAATTTTATTAGAGGCAAATAAAGACATAGGGACCAAACTTTGGCCTGTCAAGTACCCTTGCTACTCCTGTGCGGTCCGGGAACCAGCAGCCAAGGCCTCAGGGGGGAACTTGTTAGAAATTCAGAATCTCAAGCCCCACCCTGGTCCTGCTGATTCAGAACCTACATTTTAAAAAGATCCCCAGGTGATTCTTAGGCACATTAAAGTTTGAGAAGCACTGGGCCGAGAGCCACCAAAAATGGGAGCCTGATGTACATATTAATGAAAAACAGCTGACATAAAGCAGTGTGCCATATTTTAGAAGTAATTGGACCAAATAGATACACTGAAGAAACCTACTTTCTTTTGAATTGTGTCCAGGAGAGAGAATTAACACCTCAGACTTATGTTCATATGGAAGTAAATGTATAGGATGGGGTAATAGGTCTTTTTTTAATTTCCAGGATAATATTTGCTACAGATGGTGTTTGAGGATGGTAGAACGTAAGTGAGGGATGAGGAAGAATTGGAAAGATCTGTGTGTCATTTCTGTAGAATGGGGGGCTTTTTTCATTCCTGTATGTCACTGGTTTAAACTTTCTTTAGAAGAATGAGTGCTGACAGGGAATCTTGAACATGAATTTAGGTCTGAGTTGAGCTACCAGTATTTTCCTGGCAGGAGGGCATGGGATCTGTTGAGTTCCTCCCATCACTTTTTCTTTGCAGTGAACTTGGAGAGGTGGCAGTGCTCCAGGCAGATGGCCAGCAGTAAACACACAGCGGGAGGCTCCCAGTGGCACAAATGCTTAGGGAGGGTTTCAGATGACCCCGGAAATGCAGAGAAGAGGAAGTGAAGGAGGAAGCCAGGAAGACTGCTGAAGGAGCTCTGAAACAGGCCAAGGCTTGAGAATTACCTGGGATGCTTAAAAATGCCCTCCCCTAAGCCTAACCCCAGCCTTCCCAGACCAGAATCTCCAGGCTTGGAACCAAGGGATCTGCTTATTTAACAAGTTTCTTGGGGGATTCTGAGGCACACTAAAAACAAACATTATTATTATTGTCCTAGAATCAAAAGCTTTCCTGATGCATCACCATAGTCATTTGAACCATAAGGAGGTAGGGTGGCCAGCCATCCCAGGAACAAGACATTCAGTGCTAAAACCAGGACAATCTGGGCAAACTGGGACCATTGATCACCCTGAGAGGAGTTCCTGCCACTAAAAATGTCCTTTCATTAAAGGATGTCTGTCCCAGTTTTTATGAATCTTTACTTGCTTTGTTTAGTTTTTTTATTTTGAAGGTTCTTTTAAAATTCAGAAATGAACAAAGAAGAAATAAAGTCATCTATAACTGCCACGCCCAAAATTATCTACTATTAACATCTTGGCATACTTACTTCCAGTCTTTTTTTTTCTTGAAAAAAAAGCATTCATTTGTTATTGTAAATCTATCTTTTTTAAAATAGAAAAATGTTTTTAAAAGACCCAAGATTATCCCTCTGAGAAATAACCATTATTAGATGTAGGTGACCTTATTCCAGGAACCTTTCTATATGAATGTGTCTGGATGGATCAGTACGTATTTTATTGATTCTAAGTCATACTTTTTTTTCACACTTTCGGTATCTTTGAAATTAGCGTACATCTTATAGTCCATGGCATCTTTGCATTATATCCTGGTTAAATTGGCAATGATTTTTCTTTGTTAGTGCTACATAAAATACTGGCACATCTCACAAGCACTAATGTCTCAGATATTATGAAATAAGTTATGTCAGTAGTTATAATTCTTTTTTTTCTTTTTCTTTTTTGAGTTGGAGTCTCACTCTGTCACCCAGGCTGGAGTGCAGTGGCACAATCTCGGCTCACTGCAACCTCTGTCTCCTGGGTTCAAGTGATTCTCCTGCCTCAGCCTCGCAAATAGCTGGAACCATATGCATGCACCACCATGCCCAGCTAATTTTTGTATGTTTAGTAGAGACAGGGTTTCACCATCTTGGCCAGGCTAGTTTCGAATTCCTGACCTCAGGTAATCTGCCCACTTCAGCCTCCCAAAGTGCTGGGATTACAGGCATGAGCCATCGCGCCTGACCGATAGAATTCTAATATAATTGTTCTTTAATATTTTTTAAGTACTAAATTTCATTTTACTTAACCATAAAGATGCTAAATGAATTGGTGAGCAATTTCTACCATAACAAAGATTTATTTCCATTTCCCAAAAGATCCCTTTGAGGTTAAGAAAAGGGATTATGAAAAATGTTAATAGAAGTCATTTTGTCGGGTATTTTTAAAGCTACATGTTTTAGTTATAAGTATTGTTGGTTGACCTGCTATGAAAGATGACAATATGGGCTGGGCATGGTAGCTCATGCCTGTAATCCCAGCACTTTGGAAGGCCAAGCTGGGTGGATCATCTGAGGTTAGGAGTTCAAGACCAGCCTGGCCAACATGATGAAACCCCGTCTCTACTGAAAATACAAAAATTAGTTGGGCGTGGTGGCGGGTGCCTGTAATCCCAGCTACTTGGGAGGCTGAGGCAAGAGAATCACTTGAACCCAGGAGGCAGAGATTGCAGTGAGCCAAGATCGCACCACTGCACTCCAGCCTGGGTGACAGAGCGAGACACTGTCTCAAAAAAAAAAGAAAGATGACAATATGAGCATTCTCTAATATTACTAGATGGAGCATATTGGGTTTTTTTATTGTCCATGTTAAAAGTATTCATATTTGGTCTTAAAACTATAATTGCCATGTCACTTGAAGTTCAGTATTTAAATTGGTTCACTGTCACCATCAATCTGAGAAGGCACCCATGCTTTCCTGCAGCCTACAGGAATAGCAGGGAAAAGAAATAAAGCCAGCAGGTGTCATTGCCAGGCTTCTTATGATACTTGGACCCAGCTTTCTCTTCTCAGAGTTTGTAAAATGTCCTGTTCTAGGGTTTCTGCTGCAAACTGGGGAGAGGGTGTAATCCATTCCCACAGGCCTCCAGTTGCTTCTTTGATTTAGAAACCAACTTTCAAACCTCCCTCCATT